CAGCATCATGTGGAGAGATACCTCCCCGAAGGGCGGAGGCATTTACAGCCAGCAAGTCCCAGTTTTCTGTGGGCAGGTACTGCATGTTTGTGAATGCTGCACTGGATTTCTCCTCTGAGGGAGCCACTCATAAGGCTGAAGACTCAACTATGCCCGGTGGCAGTGCCAGTAACAGCCTTACCTGGAAGCTGGGCTTTCTTATGCAAGACACAAGAGATTGTCCCCACACAACACATTCATTTAAAATACTTGGAAAGTGCTATAAAAAGTGCCCTTATTTCAGCTCCGTGAGTATGAAATGCATGCATAATATTCAGGAAAGTTACAAGAAGATAATTTTATTGGCTATAATATCCCATCTTACTAAGTCCCTGAAGGCACACTCCACAATCCACCAAGCACAGGAGTATCCCAGTGGGTATGTCTACATTGCTTCCTTAAAAAAGAGCAAAAGGGAGTCCTGGGAGCAGCTGAGAGCACAGCGCACTGCCACACTCGCCTCCAGGCCACACAGGGGACTCTCAGGCAACTTGCAGACCCTCCCGCAGCAAGTCTTCCTGAGCAGGGCTGCTGCCATCCCAAATTGCCTCCCGGCAGCCTGAGCCACCTGGCCTGCACGGCTCCCCACAGCCCCCACGGGCTCCAGGCGACACTTTCCAGACACGGCCTCGGGCTGAGCTCCCAAGCTTCCCATCTGGAGGGCAGCAGGTTTTGCATCGGGAGTTTGTTCATCCCAATGTGTGCCCTGCTCTATCTGGAAAGCTGGGGCAATCAAATATTTAACACATTGAACGAGAGCACTCCCAGCTAAGAGGAACAGCAATTAAAGACCTGCTGAATCATCAGATATCAAAGGGGAAGCGACACAGTGGGGAATAGAAATATTCTGAAGGAGCCAGACATGTGCAGTGCACTGGGCGAGGAATTCACATTAACAGCATCCCAAACAAGATGGGAACAATGTTTTCTTAAAATCCCCAGGGGGGAGCTGCATCATCAAGAGGGTAAAAACCAAAGGAAAATGGGTATTTCAAAATTTATAAAGAATACATCCTTCATTCTGCAATAAAAATGACGGAAGATGGCAGTGTTACGGTCCTGGATGCCTGCAGCCTGTCTGTACTCCACAAGGAGCAATTTAGATATTTTGGAAAACATGCTCTTTCAGCTTTCTCTGCAAGCTTACCCACTTCTATGTGCCTACATCAGGCATGCACACACGTTTTATTATGGGGCCAATCCTGATATTTCTGCTCAGTGTCTGCTGTGTGTGTGCTGCTTGCTGCCCTGAATCAATGCCCTGACTGAAGGAAGATGTGTGTGAGTCTGATCACAGATACTGGATCTTAAGGTCACACCTGATTTTGCTTGAGCAGAAGACAGTGTGTGTAATCGCTGAATCAGCATACTGATGACACTCATGGAAAAGGATTAGAAGGTAAACCTCAAGTCCAATAAACTCATCCATGAGCCTAATGAAAGCAAAACTGGACCTGCAGGCATTAATATCCACATGAGCACGGCTGCTGTGGGTACACATGTTCTGTAAATGCCAATACTATGTGAAGTAACCTGGAATTTTCTGTGATTCACTGTCAGGAGACATTACGTTAATGGTTGGACTATCTTATCTTAAAGGTCTTTTCCAAATGATTCTATGGTTCTATCCCTGGTGCTAATATCACCATTCTTAGTGGACTGGTCCCTGAATGATTCTATGATTCTATCCCTGGTGCTAATATCACCATTCTTAGTGGAACTGGTCCCTGAAGTCTCAGTTGCAGCACTCAGTATCTTCTACAGTACAGTCATGAGAGTCTTTGTGCAGGAGTTTCTCAAGTACTGTGGAGTAAGGCTTGAAAAGTTATTTCTCTCTTTCTCACTGTTAGATTTAGCTGTTGCTTTTTAAACCCTTACACCCCTTAAGTAACAGAGCCAAGCAGACAGCTGAGCTTCCTTGTAGCAAATGAGCATAAGTGAACATGTGCATGACCCTTGGTTACCAGACTAGCTCCTTAACCTTGAACTACCTGCAAAGGGCTGGTAATACTGTAAAATCACAGCAGTTAAATCCCATAATGTCTGCCACTCTGAATCCTAAAACAGCAAGCTGTGGGAGCTTGCACCACAGTTAGGAATTACAGAAACAGCTGTAGCCCTGTGGAGTTAGCAAGGCCAATGTAGACGCAAAGGGGACGAGCAATTAGAACAGTTGAAATACTTTCTCCCCCACAAATGTGATCCCTCTCTTACAAATCAGGTACACTGTTGAGAAGGTTCAGAGAGAAGCAAATGCTTCTGTTCTCTCCTCCTTAAAGTGTAAAAGACCATGGATTAAATCCTCAGCTCTACTCTTGTTTGGGGTAGAAGAGCCAGGACATGATAAAGGGGATCCAGAAGATAACAAATCAGGATGTGGTGGAAGTCTATTGCCTTCTTTCTCAGTGCAGACAGCTGCTTTCCTAAAATCGCCTCCCAAAGCCCTGTCAAAAGGAAACCGTATGGTTTTACTTGTTACCTGCCATCAGAAGTATTTCACATGCATTTCAATCATGCACAAAAAAAGTGAGAGAAGAACCATGATATGTGATTTTTTTTTTTTTGTAGATAAAGATGACTATGCAGTTAGTGTGTGGGGTGATTAGGGGTTTTTTGTTAGCTTCTACATTTTAGCAGTAGACTTGCCAGTAATGCAGGGGGATGCAACAGCATTAAAACTATTTGATTAGCAACTCTTATATACCTGGAGCATGAGTTTTGATCTGTTTCCGTTTCCAGCATCGAAGTTGCCAAGTATTTGAAATGCTATAGCTGAGGCATCTAGAAAATGTCATCACCACTTGTCAGTTTATGAGAGGCTTGTCATAGGCTTAGGAGCTCTGAGAAGCTGTAGGTTAGTCTGGCCAAGGAGGGAAAAAATGCTGTACCACATAGTGTTTCAGATCAATGGGGGGATAATGATATCCATATTCACCAATCAGTTAACTGTACAAGTCCCATTTTTATCAAACTTCTGCCTTGTGGTGATCAGCTTGCATGCGCAAGTCATCAACCTGTGTCCTGAGGTCCCCACACACTCCTGACTGAGAAGTGTTACTTGCCATGTGTTTGAGTGAAACCCTGACATGCCAATGCAAAATAAACCCATGACTGCATGTGCACAGATGGATGAGGATGGGATTATTCAAGGTCAGGTTATCCTGTCTGTGCTAACGCAGTAGGAGATTAACGAAGGAAGGATTTTGCTGTTAAAAATGACCCTTCACTTCCTCCATGTGAACAGACACTGTCTATGCTGCAGTTGGAAATGTAGCTGCCGTCCAGCAGGATGCTGCCAAGCTAACTTTAACCAATCTGGACCATGTAGCAAAGATACGGGAGCACGGGCACCAACTGCTCACCTACAGCCCTTGGTGGGCTTGTACAGTTTGCCCTTCTCTTTGCAGTATGGACACAGCCTCAGCAGCCAGAGTGAAGTCAGCACGCTCTTCTTTTTGGTCAGAATTACAGGAAGGCAGTGTGGCACCCGGGGCCAGCCCCAAGCTTCCCTCTCGTAGGTGCTCCACTGCCAGTGATGTGAAATACCTCTCCCCAGACCTGAGCAGCTGGCAGATGTGGGGCTGATGGGTTATGCGGCTCTGGTTCAGATGGTTTGTCTTCACAAGGGTGGGATTTATTTCTAGTAGTGATATGGCACAAAAGGAAGTGCTGTGTGAGATTACTGCTCTCTTTCTCTTTTGTACCTATCAGAGAGTTAATTCCCTCCCTTTTTAGTTTGTATTTCAAGACGAAGTACCTGATTCTTTTGGGTTAACAGAAGAATCCAGATCAGTCTGTTGAAACCTGGCATTAAGTGTTCCTTATGTACCAGAATGGAGAAAATAATGATCTTTAATTACTTTGGTTTTCCTTTGCTTGTTCTAAATCCCCCTGGGTGTCTCTTGAACAGGCACAGAGTCCTTGGCTTCCCCACTATGGAGCAGTTGATGTCCATTTTACTGGCATGGCTGACTGTTTCCGGCAAACTGTGAAGAACAAAGGTGTACTCGGACTTTGGAGTGGACTCACACCCAGTCTGCTCAAGGTGAGGTTTTGCTTTCATCCCAATCAAAGACTGTCCTGAAGTAATCAAGACGCACTTTTGGGCAGTTGGGGTTATAAATCTTATGACGTGCCTCCGTACTTACTAGCAGCTTATAGATGACAGAGTCCGTGACAGAGCAGGTATAACCTCAGGCAGGTTATAAACCAGCTTTGGAACTTGGCTTGGTCATATTTCCCCAAATGTAAGCTTGGCTTCTAGACGTCACTACTTTCAAGTTCATTTGAATGTCCTTAGGGAAGGGAGTGCTGCTAACACACAAGCCAGGGTATGGATGGGGGATTGCAAGTGACAGCTAAACAAGTTCTACTTCTCAGCTGAGCTCCAGTCATTTGACACGTTGTACCAAATCGTGAAGAAAATTGCGCTTGTATAAGCCACTTCCCCAGAAGTCAAAAGTAGTACTTTCAACCAGCTATTTAATGCATGCGAATCAGTTACTACAGCCCTTGCTGAGTTGAAAGCATGAAATAAAGCACAGTAGCTTTAAAACGGAAGGTAATTTAGTTTACATAAATACATTTTATAGTGCTGCGGTGAGGATTACCTACATGGAGTACTACAGGTCAGCTAATGAGTGGTAATTGAGTGACAAGGTGATTGATTGCAATGGCCTGCCTGTGCCTGGCCCTGCCTTGGCTGGTGTAAAGCCATATGGCACCAGAGCTGCTGATTCTGCATGGGGCAAAAGAAAATTGTTCAGTCACTCTGCTGTATGTAGAATAAATCCCACATTTCCTATTGGGATTTGCTGAGGTTGCTTAGGATTTGCTTAGGTATTTGACAAGTCATGATAATCTATAGGGTAGCACAGACCTTGTTCCTCACAATGCTGTTATAATTAGTTATGTACCAATAATATGTACCTACTTTTAGCATGCTGCAGGTGCCAGCCTGGTTTGAGGTGAGACTCCGATTTTATATAAATAAGCACAGCTCTATTAGCAGATCAGATCAGATTTGAAGTCCTAGAAGTTTCCTTTTTTAAAACATCTACTTTAAGAATGCTACTAGTGAGTCTAATATTGCTTTTTTATCTTATGTTGCTTTTTTTTTTTATTTTATCAGATTGTCCCATACTTCGGTGTTATGTTTAGCACCTTTGAATTCTGCAAGCGGGTCTGTCTGTACAGAAACGGTTATATTGAATCTCCTTTAAATTACAAGCTAACTCCTGGTGTGGACCAGAGTTTACAGCCACAAGAACTGAGAGAATTAAAGCTCCTCCGAAGGGAAAACTTTGAGTCAAGGAAATCAGCTCTTGAAAACTGACATTGGACTGTCCATTGCAGATATACACACTACCTTTGTTAAGGAACTTTGCAAAAAAGACATGCTGAACTACAGGTACCAGCATCTCAGCGGATTGCATGGTTTTAGTAATGAGACACCAGTGCCAGGAATGAATAAATCTTGTACTTCATTTGCTGAATGGATATAAACAATCCAAATAGCAGGCATATACTGAAGAGGAGAGATGCAACTAGTTTGAAAACACTATGCTATTGGAACTCGAAATTACATTATTTTAGGTGCTTTACAATACCAAATAGCCATTTTGAGATAAAACCACTTGCAGAAAGGCAAGAGAACTGAGATGAGAGTGTAAATTATATCTTCAAAAATATTAAGAAAATTCAAATGGATTTTTTTAACTAATCTGAGATACCGAGTCAGCCAAAAACGATAAACAGACTAGAATACATATAACATGCAAGAATTTCTACCAAAATATCTTTTTGTTTGTTTGTTTGTTTTTGTTTTAGTGATACTGTGTGGACATGGCATTCTGCGGATGCAGAATTAGTCTCAGTTCAGGCACACTCCAGAATCCACTCTTCAGTTTTGAGACTTACTTAATAATAATAATTTTGTATGACTCTGGTGTAAAGATGAAAATATGCTGCTGCAACTGTGCTTTTGCTAAGAGAGAATTGTAATGTGCGAAATGAACTGTAATACACTGGAATGACAATCTTGCAAACTTAAGTGCATACTAGAAAATCTTCCCCTCTTTCTCCTGTGTTGTTACTGCATGTACATGAGTTATTTCAGGCTTTGAAAAATAGTTTTCCTTAAGTTCTCTAACTGAAATATTTCCTGAAAAATGCAGTTCTTAAATGTGTTAGATATTTCAGAGCCACGAGCCTTGTCATGTTGTTTTGGTATTCTTAAAGCTCTATTTTTATATTAAACTACTTTTTAGTTCCTGTGCACAGACCCAGGCCTACTGTGCTGCTGCCAGCATGCCAGCAGAATAGTGCTGTGCACACAACCTGTGATTTTTCCCCCCCCCCTTAACTGCTGTGAATCCAGGAGCTACAGATAGTTTCTGTAGATAGGAACCTCTCTGCAAGACCACTAGGTTATTGCCAGTGCCAATGCAATTGATAGGCCTCTGACCAGTCCAGGGAGCTTTTGGACAACAGAAGATCATCTTGCTTTTACACCTGAGGACCTGTGGTATTGCTCCAGTTCCTTTGTAGAAGTATGGCTATGGAACAGCCCCATCGTAGTGCCTCCTGATAGAAAACCTTAAACCCCGTGTCCATGTGGGAAGGCGGCTCTCTGCGGCATGTCCCACCGGCCTTGGGCTTTGGCAATGTGTGAATCACAGCAGCTCGGTAAGGTGTGTGCACACCAGCTATGCTCCTGTCCTAGCTGCGGCAGCCCGGGCTCAGCACAGGATTTGCCTGCTGGTTTACACAGCTTTTTGTGTGTGTTTTCGTACTCATGTCCCTGCTGGGTGGAAATTTGTAATTCTCGGAAACTGCTTGGTTAGGCCGGGTCACAGCGGGATGAGGCAATGGCAGATTGATGCAGGAACAGTTTGTGACTATGGAGAGAGATTTGCAGAAAGATTTGGGATAATTGTAAGGCCTGCCTTGCACCTAGAACTCAACGTTGATGTACCCTACAGCTGAGGTTGTGCAGTATCTCTCTTAATGGGCTTGCTCAGTTCTGCTGCAGTGGTGCTTCATACTGGTTTTCTCCTCAGAGAAGAAATGCAAGTGTTGATAGCAAAAATTAAGATGGTAGAGAGCAGATCTGGTAGCTCATGCATCACACTGAGGCTGTAAGTGCTTTTGGCGCTCTAATCAACCTGCCTAATGAACATGTTTCTCCATGCCTCAGTTCCCCATCTGCACAGTGCAGGTAATAATACTGAGACTTATTTGAGATGTATGAATAAGGAGATGTGACTTGTGAGTGTGCAGGGGAGGAAGAGATTTCTAAAGAGTGCCCTTGCCTTATCCAAGCATACCTGTATGTTTTTTACTAATGTTTTATTTCTAAACAGATTTTAAAGATTGAGTGATGGGTGCATATGAATGTCTGATCAGCTCTTCAAACCTGGTAAGAGTCAAGTGAGTCAAAAAGTTACCTCTAACTTGTTTCTGATATGCTAATAACACCTTTGTATTGTAAGGAACTCCTACAACCTATAAATCACTTACTAACCTTTTATCAACCAGGGCTCTACTTTGCGTAATCACATCTGTGCATGAGAAATCCCCCAAAAGGTAACACTAAAATATTTAAGACTGCACAGAAACAAAGTGCTTCAGCAAAGGTAACACTAAAATATTTAAGACTGCACAGAAAGCGCTTCAGCAGTAGATCACTAACATGTAAGGTGGTGTATGATCATGAAGAACCAGTTAGTAGCAAGGCTAAATCGCAGAGACGACTCTTAGGTAGGTGAACTGTAACTCAGGTGATATTTGGATGTGGCCATGCAGTAGAGGTGGTAGGTGGAACGTGGTGGGGTGTACGTCTGTCTGAGCATCCCAGCTGAGCTCAGCGCTGTGGCTGATGTAGGGAATCCGTACGACACTTAGAGCTCTGTGACTCCCAGGGCATCACGTATGCAGGGGAGTAGTAATGGGAGAGGTCTCTGCGTGGGGGTCTCAGCTGAGGTTCAGTGAGATTGGGCAGTCAGACTTGATCCTGTGCATGTCTGAAGATTAAACAGACTCTGGGCCTCCCCCATTCTTGCCTAAACCACCGTCGTGCTCTCTGCCCGGCTGCCTCATCTTCGTGATGGCACCCGGGTAGCGCAGAGGGGCTGGGGCGGACGCGGGCACGGAAGGCCCCGTCACCGCCACGTGGGCCGCCCGGGGGGG